CGTGGAGGGATGTGGGGGCACGGGGGGACGTGAGGGACATGGGGGCACAGAAGGAGATGGAGGGACATGGGGACACAGAAGGACGTGGGGACGCAGAAGGAGGTGAGGGACATGGGGACGCAGAGGGACATGGGGACGCAGAAGTTGAGGGACATGGATGGACATGGAGGACACGGGGATGCAGATGGACATGGGGACACAGAAGGACATGGGGACGCAGAAGGACATGGGGACGCAGAGGGACATGGGGACATAGAAGGAGATGAGGGACACGGAGGGACATGGGGACACAGAGGGACATGGGGATGCAGAAGGAGATGAGGGATATAGATGGACATGGAGGACACGGGGATGGAGAAGGACATGGGGACGCAGAAGGACATGGGGACACAAGGTGACATGGGGACACAGGAGGACACAGGGGGACATGGGGACATAGAAGGAGTTGGAGGCAAGAGGGACATGGAGGACATGGGGACAAGAGGTGACATGGGGACACAGGGGGACAGGCGGACACAGGGGGACAGGGGGACATAGAAGGACTTGGAGAAAATAGAGGGACATGGAGGACACGGGGATGGAGGAGGACATGGGGACAGAGAGGGACACGGAGGACATGGGGACATAGAGGGACATGGGGACATAGAAGGACACGGAGGACATGGGGACACAGGAGGACATGGGGACATAGAGGGACATGGAGGACATGGGGACATAGAGGGACATGGGGACATAGAAGGACATGGAGGACATGGGGACAGAGAAGGGCATGGGGGACATGGGGACAGAGGGACACGGGGACAGAGGGACACGGGGACAGAGAGGGACACGCGGGATGCCTGGGCATAGCAGGACACGGGGTGTCCCCTCGTGTCCCCGGGGAGGGTGGCAGTGTCACCCCAGTGCAGCCGGTCCCTGCCACGTCCCCGTGCGTCCCTGGGGGGTGGCAGTGTCACCCCGGGGTGTCCCCACATGTCCTTGGGGTGAGTGGCAGCCTGTCCCCGGGGGGGTGTCCCCAGGGGTGTCCCCATGACCTGGGGTGTCCCTGGGGGTGTCCCCTTGACCTGGGATGTCCCTGAATTGTCCTTGGGGTGTCCCCATGGCCCCAGGGTGTCCCCATGACCCGGGGTGTCCCCAGGGGTGTCCCCATGACCTGGG